TAAAGCTCAAATTTTGCAACTGTTCAGGTACATCATCAATAATTATTTCTTTAAATTTATCACAAGTTGGTCTTGAATATACACATCTTTTGTTTGAACCTTTTTTAGTAAGAAATTTTGCATTGCAATTATTACAGGTTTTCCATCCTAAAGAAGACATTTCTTCATAAAATTTATGTTGGAATAAATCCAAATTGTTGTTCCACATATTGTTGTCATCATCAGGTACTTGATTATCAGGTAGTGGATTAATTTCCAATAATGCTGAAAAAGAAATTTTACAATTAAGTCATGTTCATATGAGAGACTCTTAATTCTAACAGAAAAAAATTACCTGCATTTGCATGGTTTATGTTGTAAACTGGATAATGTGACATTTGATCATTTGTTAATGGTTCACATGAAAACAAAGTTGGTCTGGCATTGGGCTGCAATCTTCTTTTCATGTTATTTATACATTGATCAATAGCAAAATGTTTTGAACATAAAAAAACGATGCTTATGAAGGTCTGCCGATGGTAACTTTAACAAATCTGTGTTCCCTGAATATTGTATCCATACTTTAAACCTTAATAGATCAAAATTTTAATTTAATTAATGTATGTAGTGGAAAGAATACATTGATCATCACGTTTTGTGTTCAACTTACAGTGCCAGAGCATTATCATCAATAATGCCACTCTTTACAATAGCTGGAAAAGAGAAAACGGAACCTTCTGGAACCCCACAATCTTTAGCAGAACATATTCTTTTTTTGGTTTTTACTCTTTTTGTTTATTAGGGAAGATTGTTGCATTGAATCTGCCTGAACCTTTGATAAGAAAACAAAATCAACAATTCTGAAAGGAAATTAAAGTACTACAAAGTGGATCATGTGGCACAATACCTGGTTGGTTTCATTGCCCACATCAACATGAATTTCCATAACATGATGGTCTGTGTGATGCATATCTGTGTGTTCTACACTTATATGTTGGTCGATGTAAAAAACGTTCTCAGCTGCGATAGATATTTCTTGGTTTTGGTGTGAGTATCCATACTAAATGTTTGAAAGAAGATCATAATAATTTGTGCAAACCTAATGATTATATATGGTGAATGAAAGATTACTATCAAAATAACTTTACCTGAATTTGATTTGTTGGGTCCCGCTGGCCTAGTTTTCCGGGGCCCTCCCGTCAAATTACGTTTTTGACGGTGCGTTTGGCCACCTGTCGTGGACGCACAATTAAAACGGGTAGCACGACCCGAAAGCACAGTTTTTTCCCGCCAGAATGGCGGACTCGGATTGTTGAAATTCGCGATGGGTCCCGCTGTCGTG